TTGGAACATCCATACCAAGAGACACATCTCTTGGAATTTAAATCTCTCCATAAAGAGGCACAATTACATCTCTACATAAAGAGACCATTATTGAAAATTAATGCCAGAGTCATGATCTCGAAGAGTCATGATCCATATGAAAAGACTCATCTTTTCATCTACTCATTCTCTAGAATATTCCATAATATTCTATACAATTTCCAACAATTTCAAGCATTTTAAGTTTGGTTTAATTTCTCATTCACCTAACAAAAAATTCCACTTAAACAATCACTTAAATTGGTCACAACCAATTTCAAATTTTCCAACACTTTGAATTGAGTTTTAGCCCCTATTTGTTTACCATTATTCAATAAAGAGCAATGGAATACTGAGTTTTTAGAGAATGTGCGGTTAAAATGTAAAAAAAAAAAAATTGAATTTAAGTACAAAATATTTAAGAAAAAATTGCTGGAACGATCCCAAACATTTGGGTTTCTAGCAGATTTTACCCTAACCTTTAATTTATGCCAACGAAAGTCCCAAACCTTTGAGGAGTCAATTGGATGGAAATTGGATAAAATTATCCAATTGACCGTTAGTTGACCAAGAAAAATGGATTTTAACCATTTTTTACCAAATTAAAAAGGGCAAAATGGTAATTTTAAATTTAATACATTAAATAAATAAAAAAGGGAAAAAAAATGACCCTCTTCTTCACAAAACCCCCATTCCCACCTCCATCCTACGCCCTTTTCACAAACCCACTGAAAATGAGCCACCAACACCGGAACTACCTCTGACGCCATCATCGACAAATACACAATGCTTTCCGATTTGAACACATAGAACTTGCTATGGATCAAACACATACAACACACCCAAATTGAACTAGGTTTGATTTTCTTGGATTTTCTCGAAAAATTCATTGAAATTGAGGTCTATCTTCAATAGCCTCGTCAAATTTCCAATGAATTCTGGCACAATCCTTTGAACCCATTTTCACATAAATCAAAAACCTTTACTTCGATCAAATTCTTGAAAATATTTGCAGAAATTTCACCTTCAAACTTGTTTCTCGAAAGTGTAAGTTGTTCAAAATTAACTAATTCACCACTCACCTAGAATTTTCCCAAAAACATTTGTTCCATTCAAAATCAGTGATGAGAGTTCTACACTCATGATATTTATGTCACTTAATTTGTTATTTTGTTATCCTTGAGAGATTTTAGAGTATTTTAATGTGTATTTTGATGTTGTGATAAATGTTGATAAAATTGAAGGAAATAAGTAAAAGTTGGCAAATTAGAAAAACAAGCTAAATTGTGAGAGATCCAAAGCTCGAGAACTATACTCCAAAGTTGTGTCGGATCTCATAATGAAGATTCGAGAGTGTTAGGAGTCAATTGGATGAAGAAATAAGTCAAATGAATATGATCACACATCAATTTCCAACCGAAAAAGTTATGCTCCGAATTTTCAGTCTCGCATTGAGACTTATTTTTGACATAGCAAACGTTCGAATTAAAAAATTATATCTGAAGCAAAGTTGTAGCCCTTAGAGTGTGATCTTTTCAACGCATCGTGAATCACCTCAATCAAATATCAGGAGAAAAAGTTATGATAAAAATATTGAAGAACGCGCAATACTGAATCTTCATTCGAAACCGGGCGTCGCAGTACCCATATTGGGTGTTGAGGCGCCGCTGGGCGAGAAAAAGAGTTTTTGAATTTTTTGGACTATTTTCTTGGCTCAACATGACTCAAACCCTTCCAACACTTCAAAATACTATAAATACAATATTTAAGACCTAATTCTGGGAAGGAGAATCGTTCAAGAGGCAAGGGAAAATTCAACATAATTATTCAAGAAGGCAAGGAGGAAAAATATCAAGATATTCAAGTACAAGACAAAGAAGAACAAGAGAAGAAATTGAAGATCTACATCCTAATTTTTCTATTCTCTTCCCTGTGTCTTTTTATATGAATTTTAGTATTTTCATAGATTACATCACGAGTTAAATTCATTATCTAAGGTTTGATCGTACCCAAAACTTGAGAATATGGATTAATTAATTTTAGTTATTTCTATTAGATTTTCCGCATGTTTTTATTTGTATTATGATTTTAATGCTTTCAATTAATTGTCCACTATTGAATGATTTGATGCTATTTAATTTCGACACTTGAGAGAGAGGAGTTTAGACGTGGTCATAAGAATAACACATCCTATGAAATTATAGGTTTCGAAAGAAAGTATAATTCCTTTTGTGCGCTTCTCACCACATCTTGGTAGTCACTCTGACACATTAATGACCCAGAAGCAAATAGTTGATTCTCCTCTTTGATGCCTTCAAGAAGAGAGTTGCAGTTTGTGAACTGCAGCCTTTACAGTCAATACTTCATCCATTGTCATCTGCAGCAATAGTAGGAATTCTGAACCAGTCTTTAAAATAATCTGAACTCCTAAATTTGGATAGCAACGAGCATTGAAAGACTTTCCAATGATGATCAATCTACAATTTGGATAAACAAACAAAGATCATGAACTCCCTCCATCTCTCGCCTTACCAATTGCAAATATATTTTTCAAAAAAGAGAAGCATTTCTTCTCATTAGATTCTCTTCCCCACTAATCCAAACAATTCGAGATTCTAAAACCTTCACAAACCCTTTAAGATCATTTAGGTGCTGCTAGAATTAAATCATGGATTGATAAGGATTAACTCCATGAGATGGTAAAATAAAAAATTTATACCCACTAAAGTAACTGAATATACCCTAAACACCGAGTGATCCTACCACAAGAGAATAGAAAATATTTGATCGATGCTGGACTACGGTTTCGTTGATTGTAATAAAACAAATAAATATAAAACGAAAAACATCATCACGTGCTCAGGCCCCATCCCCAAATTGTTGAACAAGTGTTACTTTATACAATTACACAGCCAGAAACACACAGAATCAGTTGCCTTTGCTTTTTGAAAGTTTATTTTCATAGTGAAGCTAGAAGTGAAAGGGAGGTAAATCATGTAGCAAGAGAATAATCTTACCCGCTAAGAACGGAAGAATGGAAGCTGGAAAACTGGGTGGGGTTTTCTTGGGGTGGCGGTTGTAAGTGGAGCCGGTGATGGAGACTGCCGCCGTATGGTTGCGGTGGTGGTACTCGGACTCCTATACAGTTGCAGGTTTGGAGTTTCGGAAACGAGGTAGAGATTTTTTGAAGATGCGTTTATGTCTTGAATATTATTTGGGATATATTTCCTATTAATTATTTTCTGATAATTATCAAATTTAAGTGCTTTTTAAAGAAAAAATAATAATAACCCTTGAAGTTGTTCCGTAAAACAACTCAACTACATCGCAATTCATGAACGCAAGAGATAAATGGACCGCCAGAGATTTATAACATAACTATAGAGCTGAATTGCAACTTTCTGTGAAATCATATATAGACAAAACAAGACTTCATGAACAAGCCAAAAATAATAAAAACATAAAATTAGTTCTATATTAAAAATGAAGCTAGAGTCACCAATTTACAAGCCAAAATCTGTGAAATAAGCATCTAACAAAAAGACCAACACGGGCTGGATTCTGGAATAAGATGGAACGCTAAAAAAATTAAATCATCAAAACGAAACTAATACCAACATTCAAGTCTACAGCAACTACTGCACCGCAGGAAGGCACCAAAACAATGAACTCAATGAACTTCAAATGAACTAGACCTTCCATTTGTCTACCTAAACTTCATTCGCTTGGATGCAGCAGCAACACTAGGAGCAGCCCTTGACTTGCCGAAAGCCTTGGCCTTTCTTCTTCTCCTATCATCCTCGCTGTCTGATTCATCCCTCTCCCTGTCTGCATTGCTAGCTTCCCTCTCTAACTCATCCCACGTTTTGCCTTTCTCTTCCTCCGAGTCTTCCTCTGAATCTTCTTCCTCTCCGTCTTCAGACTCCACCAGTGATTCGCTGTCTGAGTCGTCATCCTCAGACTCTGAAACTGGCTCTGCATCTGATGGCTCATAACCTTGGTCTGAGTCTTCCGAGTTGTCTGAATCTGAGTCAGTACCTTCCAGATTCAGAAATTCCCAGCCACCGTCCTCTAGAAATTTCTGTGGATCGTCAGTGATGGTCTTCAATATTGGACGCCAATTGAGATTCAACCTACTCTCATAGTATTTGATGTCTGTAGTGTCGAGCCATTCCTTAATGCCATCAAGTGAAGAGGATGGGATGGAATCGATTCGCATTACATCACGCTTGAAGTCCTTGAAGACAATGGCCATGTCGAAATTCTTCTGTCCAAGACCAACTCTCTCCAAATTTACAATCTCAATCTCACTCAAGGTGATTACAAGGAAAGGAGTCTCTATCAGTTCAACCAAACAGCTAGAAGTTGGAACTATGAAAGCAGAAGCTTTGTACGGTACTCCATGGAATCCAAGTTCTCTTAGAGGCTGGTCAAACTCCAGGTCGAGGCTTTTAAATTGAGCTTGTCCCCACAGATCATTCACCCGATTCACGAAACTCTGGAAGTCCACATTGATTTTGTTCTTTCGATCTCTCTCCCTCTGTTCCTCCTCAATCTCATCTGGGTCATAAGCAGATCTCTTTCCACCTCCAATTGTTTGGACCGCCTCCATCACTTCAACATAGAATTGGGCATCCTTGGTTTTCTTGTTTCCAATCATAATGTGGTTGTGGAGATGAAAGTGAACAAGTGTAATCATCTCTTTATCAGCTGGTTGAAAAAATGCATGCTTTATGTTACCATACATGATATCTACCCGTTCGTCTGGCCTTGATGTTGAATATCTAAAACCATTAACATGAGCTTCCAGTGTGCCAGGCAACTTTCTTGCACGGCCACCAAATGCAGGACGGATCCACAGGTCATGTAACTTAATTGGTTTGAATTTGTTGCCTGCGAGCACAAGTTTTTCCTGAGTGACAAGAGTTGCCCTCTCAGCCCTTTCCGACTCCCTGGCCATGACATTTCGTCTAAGTGTTTTAATAAGTTGCACCACTTCACTTATGTGCCTCGGGTCCTTGGAGCGAAATGAAACCTCCTTCAAGTAGATAGCCCCCTGATTTTTCAAAGAGTTTGTATCATGAGGAGTGAAGGGAGTACCGGGGACATTAAATATGATCCGGATATAACAATTACGATTGGTATCCTGCTGGCTGGAGACAGTCTTCACAGTAGCTACATGGAAAGGCACCATGCTTCCATAAATCGGTAGGAGAATGGCCTCGTTCTTCTGGTCAACCTGAATCATCATATCCCTAGGTGGAGGTAGTTCATTGACACTCTTGTACGCAACTAGCTCACTTGCAGACCTCATGGTAGAACGCCCATCCCCAATTCCAGATCCTACACCAGCAAGGCGTCGAGCAGTTTCTTCATTCTTCTGGCGAGCAAGTTCAGCCTGGTGCTGTTTTCTGAGCTCTTCCTTCGATAACTCCCCATTGTCTGACCGAAGTGTTGCTTTCGAAAATAAAGTGTCCTTGACATTAGAGTCAGATTTCACTTTTGGCAGCTCTTCCTCTTCTTCATCTTCATTGAATGAATAGGCCACATCTTTGACAGCTTTGGAGCTAACTGAAGTTGCAACTTCACGACCATTATCTGTCACGATCACAGTGTCTGCAAGTAACAGTGAAAATTTCTGACTCTTGGGATTGCTAGTCCCAGTTTGCAAATTCTGGAAACCAATTGAAACATTAAAAATCATTCCTGCCTTCAGCACTCTGTCATTTTTTGCATTAAGGCTCAACCCTGATTCACGAAACTCCAAACCAATGCCCGTACCTGCAGATTTTGTCAGGTTTGGAAGCAGCTCGGGAGCATCCCTCTCCACCACAGCAAGGACTGCTTGATAAACAGCACTGACCCTATTTCCTGGTTTCAATGCAATAATTGCAGCCTCATGGGCCTTAAGAAGAACTTCATAGGCCCTGCTCTGCGCCGTATTTGCATCAATGAGGTATGTTCTGGCTATGTTGGAGCAGTAGCTGTTATATCTTGATCCAATGGCACAAATGATAACACTGGCAGAATCATAATATAGATATTCATCGTTGCTTGAAGCACTAGGCCTGAGATCAAAAGTTCCACCACTTTGAAAGATTGGAGGATAACAGATATCTACATTCTCGGCCTTCAGTTTGACACCAATCTTCACCGGGTCAAGTATTGCCTTCTCTGTGTCATCCATTAACAAGGAATGGGTGACTTTCTTCTCCTCATCGATAACCTTCTCAACTTTTGGAACCACAAAATTCTTCATTGCACATGCAGACAAGTATGCAGCTTTCTTTACACATGTAATCTCATTTTTATCCTTCACCGAGAAAAGATCAGACAACCCATTTGTAATGTCACTAAGCTGGAGGCCTGAATTCTTTACCTTATCATCCCACATCTCCAATAATTTACCTTCTGGAGCTTCTCGAGCAATATGTCCAACTATTGGGGCAGAGCTACCATCTGGTGTTAACTGAGAACGAAGAGCATGAAACACGGCATCCATTAGTATACTACCATCATCACTTTTGGATTTAATATGCATGACAACATCTGCACCCACAGCCTCTTTAGCAGACCTTTTCACAACCTCAAGAAGTGTTGCCTTCTTTTGGCTGCACAGAAAATGAATATGCTTATCTCCGAAAACCATAATTGTCTCTGGAAACTCATACCCAAGCAACCAGATATTCAAAGCAGAGGACTTCAAGTAGCGCAAATCCTCTGAAGGGGGAGGTGTGGCTATAGCAAGGGCATCAGCAGATCCCCAGAGCTCATCTTTGTGTTGACGCCAATTAGTGTAAAGACCCTGCAACCGCTGACTGAAAGTAGTCAAGTCAATGGTATATGCATTACCCCCCACCGATTTCCCATTTGCAGGTGGGTCATTTGCACTGCGTTTTTCTGCCATTGTACAAGTCCAGGATGAATCTGCCATGGTGAATCCATACATTAGTTAAGCATTAAAGAAGCAAGAAGAAATATAGTAGCATAAAAGAATAATGAAAACAACATAAATGAATCCACCCTGAGATACAGGACAGTACATGTGTTGCCTAAGAATTTACTTGAAAAGGAAAAAATATATATTTATAATTTAAGAAACCACAATCAAAATAAATATAGCAAATGGTTTAAAGAAGTTAGAAGGATAAAAAAGTTAATAAATAGAAAAAGCAGTTAAGTCATAAAAGTTAACAAATATAGAGAAAAAGACAAACAATACAACAAACAACTTTTAACTAGAAATTCTTAATAATAAGATGTTCGGAACAACGTAGCAGATGGGTATAAAACAAAACAGATACAAAAAAAATTGTCAGCACTAAAGTTCTTAAAAGCCAAAACCATAAACAGAAACTGATACCCAGTAAATGGGCCAAAGATGAGTGTTACCCACTCCATTTATTTTTTTCGGAAAGTAAATATCCTTAAATTAGTGGTATGAGAACTTACTTGATAAACGCAAAAGTAAAACAAAATTTTTTACATAGAAATTTACACTTGGAGAACCATCCCATACTTACCCTTTCAAATCTTCATATTTCTAAAATCATAAATGTAAAACATCACCACTTACGTAGCAACGGAATACTTAAGAGATGAAAAAACAGATAAGGACTGCAACAACAAAAAGGAAAAAAGAAAACAATTTAAGTTCGATAATCCAATTTATCAAATTCTTGAATAAGTGGTGTGAAATCAACAAGCCAGTTTATATGCATTTCCAAGTCCCACAATCAGTACAAAGAGAGAAACTAACAAACTCACAACCAATTTTTTAATTGAAATATGAATGAACGCAACATGCAACATATCTGAATCCTCATTTCTTTCATCAATTTCATATAATATTTTTATTTGCAATATCAATTTAAGGGTTTCTGAAAGCTGAAAACAGCATAGATAATTAATAGCATGCTGAACTTATACACCCTTGATGAATAAGAAACGAGATTGTTTGTTCAAATGTTCTGTTCGTGGAAGTCAAGGACCCACGTAGTTGCAGGTCCAATTTAAAAACAACTTTTTAGTCCAATTAAAATACAAATCACTCTAATTCGATCCCAATATGAATTCCAAATTAAACTTAAAACTCTCTAAACTAAGAAAACTGTATACC